TACGAGTAGTTGCAACAACTACAACTACAACTACAACAACAGCAACACCAGCAGCAACAGCAGCAACGGCAGCTGCAACCACAACAGATCAGCGTATTCGTTATCTCGCATTGTCATCATCATCAACAACATCGGAGCCAGCGTCACCTTCAATGGCATCAGCAGCGAAGGCAATGCACCGCACTGAATGCGGCAATTGTGATGCGTTGTCGTTTTTAATTAAAGCCAAATTCAATAAGCCACTCCAAGTTTCGTTAGTGAAAGGATTTTAATGCAACAACAAAATGATAGTATAAAAAAATATTAACTGCTGCAAGCAACTGCATTTGTGGCGAAGAGCATTGTAAAAATTGTCACAGGTGAAGTTTTTTACTGTAAGGAGCTCTTAGGTTAATTTTCATTTAATTATTTAAAATAATTTAAAACGAAAAATCGATTTAAATTTAATTATTTGCAATTAAATATTTTAATTATGAATGTGTGGCATTATTTAAATGATATTAAAATTTATTAAAAGAAACAAACTTTAACTTGAGATAATAATTTTGAACATAATTTATTATGAAATATAAATACTATAGTTAGAACATAGGTAACATTGAGTTGAAGAGTATAGGTAACGATCTGTATCTGTAGTTTTGATATTGCACAACAACATAAAAAGAAAATCAGAACCCCAATCTCTTAGCATTCAGGTTGGGCCATAAATAGAAATACAAAATTAATTGATCCAGTAATCTTAACCATTTAGAATCTTATTTCGTTCCTGATTATTGGCATTGAAAAGAAAATAAATAAGAAAAACATTTACTGAACAAAAGTCCTTTTTCGAACGCTAACTAATTGTTGTTCAGGAAAAGCTTCAACTTATAATAAATATATTATATAGCGAACACATTTATTATTTCCGATCACTCGAATTTCCGAACTCGAATTGCCAAAAGTCTTTGTTCCAAGCCCAAATCATTTAACAAAGCTACACTTGACACACTACACTACTTACAACTTAAACAGTTCTGTAGCACACTCATCTCAGCTAAACGATTAATATCTGTGCATATCTACTATATCCGTATTATATACAGCTTTATGCGATTTTTTTTTTTTAAGTAAACTACTCGGAAAATAGTAACCTAGGTTAGGTTATGCTGGCAGACCAAAAAGGCGACGCGTAGACCATTAAGATCCATTGCGATACCAAATCAGAGTCTTAATTTTTTTAACAATAGTGTGCATCGCTTAGGATGCGCCTAACCTAGATAAGCATACAATTTTTTACTTATGATAACTTTTTACTTATGATTATTATAAGCTTATTAAGAAAGTAAAACCCGAAGACTGCATAATAGACGAAGCATAATATGGATAGAATTATTTCATTGAATGTACTTACGATATTCGAGTGTATTTAAAAAGTTTGTTATAATAATTTAGAACACTTACTATACATAATAAGCACTTATTAGTATAAAAATTGAGAGCACTGAAATTCAATTACCAAAAACTGAAGGTTAATGTTATGAATAGATTATACCTTTATAAAATATTTTTAATTTAAACTGAATACATAGAAATAAATCTAAATAAAAAACTAATTGGTATAAAAGCCATTTTAACTACCCAGGGTTATTTGCTTAATATAAAGCAATAAGAGCTCTAAAATTGAGGTGTGAACAATGTACTAATCTCGATAATAAGCCACTAAGAAAATAGAAATTATGACCTTACGGCTGTTAATGAAGTACAAATTCAGCAGAGCAATTACAAAATTTTAATATTAAATGATTTTTATTCAAAAGCAATCTCATTCAAAACAAAATAATAAGACGGATTTAGGTATGCGCAGCAAAAATACTGACAAAATAATTTATACAGATATATACCATAGATTGGAGGTTAGGTTAATTAGCATTGATAAAGAAAAGCACCTCTTTTGTATATATTTGTGATTGAATTAAAATTAATTGGAGCACAAATTTTGAGAAAGAAAAGTTAAATGAATACATACTTAGTTATATTTAATAATGTCAATAATAAATTATATTTTTAACGATGTACATACATGCACTTAATTAGCTGTGACCTCAAATAAGTCATGTGGCGTGGAAACTCTTAGGGCACTTCATCTAAAGCTGTAAGCGCAAATAGTGCTCCACGGTTAAAAATCCTCAATCAAGTTAAATGTCAATTGACTATGGAAAGAATTTATATGCTTTTAATTATAAAACATTTTAATAAACCGGGTTTTTGCTTATTATTTCACAATATTCATTGGCAATGCGATTATTGCGATTGACATTTTTTTTTTCGCTTTAATTTAGTTCAACACCACTTTATATTCATGTTTGTATTGTGTTTCATAATAAAATTCTGCACTTAAACATTTATAATATTTATGTTAATTTAAATAAGTATAAAACTTGTTTATTAAAAATTGTTTGAATAGTTAAATTAAAACCAATTCACATATTTATCGATATCGTCAAAGCATATTAGTAAAATAAATTTCCCACAAAATTCCCCACAATTTCCACACAAATAGTTGCAATTCTTTAAGTGAGATCGTTCAATGCAACTATTGAACTATCCCAACACTATGCACATTTTACAGTGTTTCCTATAAATTTGTATATGGTCGTGTGCGAGTTCGAGTAAATTGAGGTAAAGTAAATTGAAATTTACTAGGGATTTTTTGCACTGCACTTATGTAAATATTTATTAATTTATTTATTACACTTATTTATTATTTTTGTTTCAAAGTTTTTATTTATTAAACATTATTTAAAATTTTCACAATGATGTATCTAGAACGTATGCGAGTAAGTCTAAGTTGTGCCGATAATGTAGTGATGTGTCGATACGTGTTGATAAATGGCTAAATGTGTGCAGTGCAAAAAATCCCAAAAAATCTCCCATATGGTTAAGCATCAACTTAGCCTAACTCGCACACGTCCCTAATTTTTATCTAATTTATCCTACTCGAAATTTACTATTTCTTTAATTTACTATTTTTTTCAATTTACTCGAACTCGCACACGGCCTATGTTTTTATAATATAATAAATGTATGACTATACCGCAATCAGCTGATAACTATAAATCAAAACAAAAGTTGAACGTTACCAATATGTATATGCTATATATAAAAAATGGTAAATACTATAATTTATAAATATAAATATTTAAAAATAAGATATATTGCTAAACATAATCACAGAAAATACTTGACAAATGTTATTACATTGCAATGTATTATTCGAAATTCATTTTGTTGTTATGTTGTACTTTTTTTACGTTATGCAGATACCGGACTTGTTATACCTGTAATAATGAATACTCTTTAAAAAAATTGATCCACGTGGTAACATATACACTAAATTTACGTAGACATAGATGAAATAAAAAAATAAAAAAATAAATAATAAGTTAAAATAATCAAAAACGATTTGCTTTGGTCATAGCACACAATACAAGACAACATCTGAACACATACAGCTCTCTGTAACAGGTAATATTATATGTATGCTATGTTTAGACCAAATATCAATTGTCAAATTAATATTACCTTTTTATCGATTTCTAATTTGGTGCCAATAAATCAATGTTCTGTTTCCCATAAGTTATACGGCGTTTACATTAGCCGAAAATGGCTCATTTTGGATGAGTCATTTGAAAGTGTTTACATTCGTTGTATTTCATTTTTTCTCATTTCATTTCATTTCTGTGCCAAAAATATGTTACAGGAAGGTTAAATATACCTTCAAATCTTACAATATAAACTAAAAACTTGTTTCTAGATTCGATTTATTTATTTTTGGGAAGTAGAAGTTCCAAAAATTGGTGCATCGTTTTAAAGAAAATGCAACCACCAAACATTTGTTTATCTTTTTTTGTAAATATGTCAAAGCAGCTTTTTCAAACTGTCAAAATGCCATGAAGAGCTTTCATTTAGGGTATGTTCAATAGATTCCTTTGCATTTGGAACATATGTGGAATGCATTCGAACATCATTCATACAGAATGTGAGAAAATTGCTCATTTTGTGCTTGAAATTTTATATGCAAGAATGAGCCATTCGATACTCATTTTCGATTTTTGACCAAAATGAGCCATTTTCGGTCAATGTAAACGCCGTATTAGAATGCATCAGCTGATTCTTATGGCACAATTAATTTAGTCTTAACGGCTGATTTACTTGACATAAAAGTAAGCAACATAGAAAACGTACAATTTAGGACGTGTGCGAGTTAAGCTAAGTTGATGCTAAACCAAATGGGAGATTTTTTGGGATTTTTTGCACTGCACACATTTTGCCATTTATCAACACGTATCGACACATCAATACATTATCGACACAACTTAGAATTTCCCTCATTTAGAACGCAACTTAGCCTAACTCGCACACGACCTTAATATAACTAGAAAACCTTACTTTGGATACAAGACAAATTAGTATAAAAACATAAAACATCAAGTGCAATTTAAACCGTATTGGTCGTGCCCTACAATATCAGCTGATATGTTCTAACTTAAGAGTTAAACTAATTCTACCTATGAAATCAGCTGATCCGTTTGAAATAGTGAAAAACCATATATTCAATTTTCAATGGTGGAGTACAAAAAATAAGGAAAAACTTACGAACCTTATTGGCTATTATATATATTGAGTATATCTTTGTATGTAAACTGTTCGGATTGAATTTGTGTTCTTATATTTGTTTTGTTTTGTTTCTTATATGTTATTTATTTTGTCATAATATAATTTCTATTTTATGTAATTTGATTTTGCATAGTAACCATAAACCTGAAAAAATGCTTTAATTATTAATCCATTCATTATTTCGAGTCCATGTAATAAATGTAATTGTTAAAATATATATATCAAATGCAACCTTGTGAGGGCTATGGAACTTAGCATAAAAATATGAAAACTTGTAGATTATTTCTTATCTTGAAGCTGTTGGTTAAAGGTGTGCGAGTGGAGTTAAACTTAATTTTAAAATGCCGAAGAAGAAACGAAATACCTTCGCAATGGGTCAATTTGTATTCGCGAAGATAAGGGGCTATGTTCCCTGGCCAGCTAAAATAATTGGTGTAGAAAAATACTTTTACCGCGTCATGTACTATGGCGATGGAAATCAAACAAATCGCTTAAAGCATTCAGCAATATTTGATTATGCGGAATATAAGGGCAAATTTGTTAAAAAATCCACGTTAAAAAATAAAAAATTCGCTGAAGGTATAGAAGAGATTGAACATGCTATTAAAACTAAATATGATAATAGTAGTGGCGATGATTCTGATTCCGACGACACTGAAGCTCAACTAAAAGGGCTTGATACTCAAACTCACCTAAAGGAGATTGAAACTCGAGATGAAAGCCTACAAGAAAAGAATTTTGATGTTCAATAAGTTTATAGATGATATTATGAAAAAAGAAAAAATATAATTAACTATAAAATACACACGTTTTTTGTTGTCTTACTTTTTTTGTTTTTATATAAAATTATTAAATATATTTAAAAAAATTTAATCAAAATAGATATTTTATAAAAATAAAACTTCAAAAGTACGTCACTATTCGTGCACTACAGAAAGCATTTACATAATTTTGGAGTTTCAATCGTATAAAATCTATATAAGTCGGGATTCACGCTGTACTCATTATCCGATCTTATTCAGAGATACAATTTTGAAACCATTGTGCTTAGTTTCAAAAATTAGTTAATATTTTCTAACGAGATCTATGTAAGCGTTAATATGTTCTGGAATTTGTTCTTAGAACCATATTAACCAGAATAACTATATGCTAGTTCGAAACTATATGTTTAATGATATTATTGCAATTAAAACAGTAGCTCTTCATTTAACATTTCCTCATTTCACATCACATATGTATATGAATTTGGATATTTTAACATTCGATTCATCGGAGGAACTTTCTTTGAACTATATTGCTGGCGAATTCGAGGCTGTTATTTCGGTTTCAGTTGTAAAGATTGATGGGAGACAATTTGTTGTGGATGTTAACACAATATTTGTTTATAAATAACTAGTCAATTTACACTGACTCGGTATGTAAATAGTGATGCTGCCATGATAATTGATATACTGTATTCGCTTTGCAAGACACCAATTACTAATTCAATGCCATAGCGATTTTGTTTAGGAGTAAAGGTATATGCACCTTATGATATAGTATCTTTTGCAATCTTTTGTAAAGGAATATGATGGGAATTTAAAAATATAAATATATCGAAATTATATATAGTAGATGAACCCACCTCACTTTTAAATTGTCTAGTATATTTCTATGTTAATATAGTTTTACTTTTAGTGCCATTTTCAACAAATTAAAGTAAAATATTAACAATTTTACGTACAACGATTCGATTTTGTATATTATATTTACCATATTAGTAATAAAATAATAAAATTCACCATATTTTTAAATAATATATAATGTTCCTTTTATTATAAATCATTTAATATTAAGATTATTATATGTACATATATAATCCTTATCAAAATTAATATTATTGCTGACAAAAATAATTTAATTTATTTATTTATTTTAAGAATGTAACATATCTTACAGAATATATATAAAAATTGTATACTTTATATGACAAGAACAGTTTATAACATTCGTAAATATATATTTACATATTCGTGTATTTCTAAGTTTATATATTATTGTATAATATATATGTATATAAAGTCGGCACGCAGTATCATAAAAGTTCATATTGCATATCGACCGTTTAGAATTTCACATTTCCGATGGGTATTAATGTTAATGTTACATTTTTTTTTTGAGGAATACCAGTGCTAAGAATCAGATTTCTTTCAGATCAAAGTTGAACTGAGTTGAGTTGAGTTTTAGGTTTCTTGAATGTACTTTTAAAATATTTCGTAATGTAGCAGCTTCAACTGTTTTACGAACGTTGGTAGTATACGATATAAATTGTTTCTTGAAAAAGGTGGTGTTTATTAAACTATGAAGTTAAGAAAGAATGGCTTATGTATAAATAATAACACAGATATGTATAAGATATATAAACCTTAACGCTACATCGATATTAGTCTCCGATTGTCTAGCAGGTTTACACGTTTAGTTATGTCGTGTGTACGGCAGATGATTCTCTAGCATGTAATGTTGGGATAGTCAATATTCTGCTATTGAGGGATTAATACATTAAATATATAATTTATGTTGAGTTTTGAAAGTTTGCATATATCCAGTTTGCATATATCCATTGTTTTTTAGCAATATTATTGTTGTTGATGTTCTACTAAAGAAGTTTGTCTATGATCGTTACATGCACAAGTATATCTGCAATAAAAAATTTATACAATCTATTAGAATGATAAATGAAAGTATACAACATATCTAAAATTTCATATCTAGCAGCCGTTGTGAAATACTCACATCATTCGTTATGCCACTCGCATTGCAATGATTGAAATTTGGGTTAATTTTGTGCAGATTACTTTCATAAACAATGAAAATTGCAGCGGGTGTGCCATTAAATGATTGCTTTTAAGCTGCACCAGAATCTGAAGAATCATGAAAACATTTCCATCTCAGCTGTGCAGGCGAAAACCTGCACTTATACCTGTACTTGTCGTTGCAGACATTTCGGATGACCACAAACAAATTGAACACCAGAACAAGGCATGGTGCGCAAAAACTCGTTTAACGATTTCGTGGTTAATGCTTTAAATTCTCTTTTTCCTTTGCTTATGATAGACAGCAACAGTTCGTCCAACTGCACCGCTGCAGATATATCCTCCTGGCTTACTCGAAAGCAATATACAGTATATGTATTGTTACAATTGTGCACATCGCCTACGTTAATATTATAAATTGAAATGTCCCCCATGGTATGCAAATAAAAATGAAATCCCATTTTATAGATAATTTTGCACGTGTGTCAATGCTGCAGGCCAAAGCGCGCCCACAAAGCAATAGACTACTTTCTTGGGTACGTATTCTCTTACAGCAGATTTGTGGCGCTGAAGGAAAGTATAGCAGGAATAATAGTTATTTAAAACTGAATGCATAGTTTTGGTATTGTTACATTTAATGTCAGCAACTACTAAAGAAATTTCACAAAAATGTTAAGACTAGCATTTGTACATGTTTATGCTTGCATTTATGTTCTACTGTTATGTCATAAATACATATCAATCGCTCACACCAACAACCATGTTTGAAACCTCTACATGCCAGTATAGTGTGCAAGGTAGAACAAGGAATAATACAAGAAGGAATAATAGTACGTTTTCATTAACCATACCAAGAGCTTCCGTGCTTTTTCACTCATATGGCATTTACACCGGCCTCAAATGGCTCATTTCAAATGAGTCATTTAAAAGTGTTCACATTCGTTGTAATTCATTTGTTCTCATTTCGAACAGCTGATTTTTCGACTTGCTTGTTGATTTCATTTTTGTCCTGTGCCAAAAGAATGTTGGATAAATGTTAAATATACCTTCAAACCTTACAATATAAACTCAAAACTTATTTTTAGCTTCAATTAATTTATTTTTGGGAAGTAGAAGTTCCAAAAAGAGGTGCATGGTTTTCAAAGAAATGCAACCACCAAATATTTCATTAACTTTTTTTGTAAATATGTCAAAAACAGCTCTTTCAAACTGTCAAAATGCGATTAAAATTTTTATTTCAGATATGTTCATTGTATTTATTTGCATTTGGGACTTATATTCATTCTAACCTCGTTATACAACATGAGATCCAATAGATCGACGAGTATCGAAATAGTTGAAATGATGAGCTATATGAACTATACCGGGACATTGACATAGTTAAGCGCATAAAAATTCAGCGGCTTCGCTGGCTTGGTTATGTCGTTTGAATGGAAGAAAGTGTTCCGGCTAGAAAGATGTTTGATTCGGTACCCGCAGAAGAAAAATGCGGTAGAGGCGACAGCAAGCAATTAATCAAGCTGACTGGCGGAGACTACTCGACGCGGCCAAGGACGACCCACGTCTGTAATGGCCAACTAAGTGAGTAAGTAACAACTAAGTATTATAACACAGCCAGAATATAAATTAATAAATATACTTCGAGATAGTAACTCTGATGATGATTTAGAATTGGTAAATTTATTATTGTTATTTTATTATAAACGAAAAAGAAAACTAGTATGAGCAAAAAATACAAAGTATTCAAAAATCATTTCCGCTACTTGTAATTTTTTTGTTAAATTCCCCTTTTCAGCAACAAACTACTGCGATACCTAATTTAGAAGTTCACCATCCATTAAAAAATGCATTAAATAATTGCGATTTACAATGTGCAAATACAATTTCTTACATGACACAACAGTTTTTGTTTCCTCCATTATGTCTCTAATAATAACATAAAATAAAATTTTAGGAACTCTAGCTCACTTTATTAATATAAAAGGTATTTAAAAATATTGATCCATGAAAATTGTGTAAAGAGGGTAATCTTTTATTTGGCTTTTTATTTGTGTTACGCTCTTAGTTTGTACTTGTATTTTACTCAAATTTTACTACGAGTAGCTCGTGGAACAGACCTACATTCACATCATCAAATCAAGCTGTAAGGCATGTAGTAAGATGAAAGCATTCATTCAAGCAAGCATTGAAAAGAATTATAATACAAAATTTTCTTATTGAGTCTGCCTTTATGTGTTTTAACTTCAAGTGGTAAAGTAATAATAATCCTTCGTTTCCCAGAAAACAATTAAACATCGGTATAAATTGTGTTAATTTTTTAAAAAGATGATTCCAAAACAAAAGGTATTTATTATTATTTATTTATTATTACAAATTTCTTTACCGGAAAATAAAAGTTCTGTAAAACATGCGATTTATTTCTTAGAGCAAATTTTATTCATATTTTTCATGTTTTTGCCCATATTTTAAGTCCATTGGATGTACTAAATATATGCATATGGATTCCTGTTTAATTTATAATCGTTCAATTTCTAAGACAATATACATACATATATCTACTTTTATTTGTTCAGAAACAGCTAAACACGTGAATTTGAAGAAATTAAATATTATTTATAATGGAATGATTTGAGGTTATGTTTTTTTTTTACAAAGTTTAGTAAAGCAAACCATTTTGGAAGTAATAAATAAAATTAACTGATTTAGTTAAATGTATGGCTTAATATGTTTTAAATAATTTAAATGAAACATATTTAAAATATTATAAAAATATGGTTTGGTGGTTTGATCCATATTTTTTTAGATTGGTTTATGTGCCAGTAGAGAAGAGAATAACTTAATTGGAGGCACATGTTTCAATCGTTTGTCTGACTTTTTATTAAATAAATAAAAATACTAATGATAGAAACTTATAAATTTAGGTGTCACATACAAATATATTTATCAGGGATTAATAAATT